GGTGTCTCCTTCCAAGACAAAAAGAGAATCCAGGCTCCTAACAAGGCAAGATGGCGCCCTATGGTCTGGTCTCAACTCCTTATCTCAGCCTCCTCTCAACTCATTCTGGTCCATGCACGTTCCAGTGATAGGGCTCCCTGGGCATGCTGACGTCAAGCTTCTCTGCCATGCTATATGCTGTTGCCGTCTTTATCTTCCCAGCGAACTCTTTCTCATCCAATAAAGCCCAATTTTAAAGATTTTAAAGGATTTTTCTCCTATGCTGAAAATTCTCCAATAGATTATCATTCCCCTCAGAGAAGATACTCACGTCCTCTCCATGCCCAGAAGGCTGGATGATCAGGTTCTCTCCTATACCATCAGCCCCATCTTCCAGCGCCTATAGATGGGCCTGGGAGGGCAGGGTCTGAGTGTGAGCATTAATCCTGGGGAAGGGGAGAAGGTCAGTGCATGCAGGGAGCCACGGGGAAGATGGTATCACAGAGGCCAGAGTGTACCAAGGTCTTGCAGACAATCTGCCATATTGGGTTTAGGTGCAAGGAGCAGAGAAGGAGGTGGACGAAGCGACCAGCAGATGTTTTCAAATTTACACATTCATTCAACTGAAACATGCCAAGCACACTCCATGGACCCATCACCTAATCCTTGCAATAAGGAGTAGGCATTACTCTAGATTAAAAAGAAAAAAATAGGTGAGAAAGTAGGAGTTCAAGGAAGTTAGGGATTCTGCTGGGTCCACACAGCTAGTAAGTGGCAGGGCTGGCATTTGACTCAAACTCAAATTTTTTATGACTCCTAAGCCTAAACTCTTTTTTCTTGTTCTGTAGAGGGTCAGTTGAAAGAGTATGCAGCAAGAGATTAGCAAAGAGAATACAGAGTTTCTGTGGCGTTTTGATCCCAGAGTTGTCAGATATCTCAGAAAGTAAAGGGTTTACGGCATTTGTATCAATAGACATCAGTTCCTGCGTTTTCCCAAACACATAATCACATCAACAAGATGACCAATCAGCAACCGTGGCAGCAAGCCACGGTGGAAGAAGAACAGGCTTTGAAGAGTTGAGGTTGGGCAAATCTGACGGGGTGACCTTGGGTAAGCTACCTCACCTCTCAGACCCTCAGTTTTTTTATCCACAAGTGGGGACTTACTAGTGCTTTCTCAGAGGACTGTACACATCCGTGTACATACAGGGCCTCCTTGCAACAGTGGCTCTTAAAGTTTCCTCCAGGAAATGACATAAGGCACTTCCACTCACATTTAATTGGCCAAAGCAAATCACATGGCCACACTTTACTCCAAGGAAGAGTGGTCCCAGCATCTATCTGGGAAGAGGACAGAAATACTCAAACACCCTAGTGACCGTTCTTTCTCCCACACTCGTTTACAGCATTTTTAAAAATCTTTATTTATTATTTATTTATTTTGGCTGCACTGGATCTTCATTGCTGCATGCGGGCTTTCTCTGGTTGCGGCGAGCGAGGGCTACTCTTTGTTGTGGTGTGCGGGCTTCTCATTGCAGTGGCTTCTCTTGTTGTGGAGCACAGGCTCTAGGCACGTGGGCTTCAGTAGTTGTGGCACATGGGCTCAGTAGTTGTGGCACACGGGCTCTAGAGCCCAGGCTCAGTAGTTGTGGTGCACAGGCTTAGCTGCTCAGCGGCATGTGGGATCTTCCCAGACCAGGGCTCGAAACCGTGTCCTCTGTTTTGGCAGGTGGATTCTTAACTACTTTGCCACCAGGGAAGTCCCTCTCCCACATTCTTTTAAAATGAACGTACACTTTGGTTTGAAAAGCATTTTTGTGGTATAGCTTTTAAATAAATTGTCATCAGGTATAATATTAGAGCTTCTATTTATGGAGTGACAATGTCGTCTTCAGATGTGGCCTAGGTGGATATTGAGGAAGGAATCACCTCCCAGAGAATGGAGTCAAGGATCACAAAGAACATGTCCCACCCTAGGTCAGGGGCCCTTACAGCATCTGCCCAGAGGGATTTCAGAATTGCTGTGGACCAAAGACTGCTGTGTTTCTCTAACTATTCCTCTTACGTAGTGGAAATGTTTTTTGGTTATTCTGCTTCGTTCCACTGTTGTATAGTGTGTGTGTGTGTGTGTGTGTGTGTGTGTGTGTGTGTGTGCGTGTGTGCATGTGCACGTATGGAGGGGGTGATGGCTGTGGTGGTAGCGAATACTTCTTCTTGTTAGTGTATAGGTCTCCAGATCGAGTGGAGCCACATCTGGGCCAGATATAGAGCCTCCTATGCATCTCAGCCCAATGAAAAGATCATCAGGAATCACTCAGAGAACCTGTACATGGAGCTTGGAGCCAGTAACAGGTGGGACTTAGAGGTTGTCTCATTTAGAGAAGGGTGGCTGTATTTTTAACGTGGGAAGGGCAGTCAAACGAATATCGCTGACTAAGTGGACAGACCATAGTGTTCATCAGTGTCGTTCATACAATATTTCCAGTTTTTCTTCCAGACATATGGTAGATTTCACTTCCAGGCTTTGTTGGAGTTAGGTGTGGCCATATGACTTGCTTTGGCCAATAATGTGTGAGTAAAAATGATTGGTGTCACTTGTAGGCAGAAGCTTTAAGGGCTTGTGCACCATCCATCATGCTTTCTCTTTCTTCTTTCTCAGCGTGCAGCAGTGTGGCTGCTCTGTCTGCTTGGGAAAAGCAGAGAGGAGCCCCCTTTCTTCTGCAGTGAATATGAAGTGAGAATTATTTTAAGTAACTGAGAACTGGGGCTTGATTGTCACTACAGCACAACTTAGCCTATTCTAACTGATCCAAAGAGATCATCTTAATTCTTTATAAAAATCACTTTATTTTGGTGGGGCTGGTCTACCCAGTTGGCATGTAACTGGGAAAAAGTGGTTTCAGCTGGCCTTCTTAGAGTTCGGGGCAGGTTTCCATTGCAGGCTGGGGTGACAGGGATCCAGATATGGTCCCTGAGGGCCTCTAGGGAAGAGTAGTGGTAATGTTCATGGTGAGGACATGACTGGGGCCCCCTTATCTTATGGGCAGCATCCAAGCTATGTTCCAGAATATCCACGGGCTGACTGGTGGTGTCCAGCTGGGGCACTGAGCCACACAAGAGGGCCATCGCTCCAGCACAGCTGTGTTTAGTGACTAATGATTCCTGTGCAACCTCTAAATCAGTGCCTTGCTATACTAATTAGTTTCATGGACTCTTGCCAGATGACACAGTCTTCCTTTCCTGTTATCCTGGGGAATTCTGCAATACTGAGGAAGCGCCTATCACGTTCTACTGAAGTGTCTGAGAAGCTTTCTACTATCATGTGATGTACGTCGGACTTCAAGTAGGTGACTTCTGCTCAAAAACACACTCTCTCACTCAGGCATAAAAAAGAATGAAATGATGCCATTTGCAGCAATGTGGATGGACCTAGAGATTATCACACTAAGTGAAGTAAGCCAGAGAGAGAAAGACAAATATCATATGATTCATTTATACGTGGAATCTAAAAAGAAAAGATACAAACGAACTTATATACAAAACAGAAATAGACGCACAGACATAGAAAACAGACTTATGGTTACCAAAGGGGAGAGTGGGGAGGGATAAATTAGGAGGTTGGGATTAACATATACACACTACTATATATAAAATAGATAAACCACAAGGACCTACTGTATAGCACAGGAAACTATACTCAATAGTTTGTAATAACCTATAAGGGAAAAGAATCTGAAAAAGAATATATACACATATGTATATATATATATATATATACATATGTGTATATATATATAAATATATATATTACACACACACACACACACACACACACACACACACACACACACATATCTCTGAATCACTTTGCTGTACACCTGAAACTAACCCAACATTGTAAATCAACTATACTCCAATTTTAAAAAATATACTCTCTTCTGTTGCCTCCTGGATTTTGTGTCTCTTGTGCTCCCAGGGGCTGCACCATTGCCCTCCTTGTCATCTTCCCTTGCATGGGGCTGCCCAGAACTCACTCTTCGTCCCAGTGCAGAGGGGCCTATGTCTTCCCTAGAGGGAGCCAGCCCTCTGAAGACTTACTCTTATACCATAATCCACCTTTCCCCTAAGCCCCCATGGCGAATGGTCAAGGTCACAGATCTTAGTAACTTTCAAAGAATCCATCAACAGGAGTTCGAGTCATCTCAAAGTGCTCATCTGCTTATTTGGGGAGCATTTTACTTCCCCTCTGCTCTCCCACTGGTATTTCAAAACACCCCAGCTGCTAAGGGAGCAAAAACAAAGATGCCAACAAATCCGAGTGGGGAATAGAAAGGATACCTGCATGCTCAGAGTGCTGGTTTTCCTGCTTCCAAAGAGGAGATTAGCCTGGGTGCAGGGACTGGAGGACAGGCAGCAGCAGAGGAAATGAGGAGGGAACAGGGACCTTCAAGCGAGAAGGCAACAAGGAGCCTCCATCCCTGGGGAGCAGGGAAGGGGCTCAGAGCTTAGCAGAACTTGAGGGTGGCCTCTCGTGGCTTTGAACCTATGGGCAATCCACCCGCTCCCTCCATCCCACATATTTGTGAATTTCCGGTATAGAGGGTTGGGGTCTTGGACCAATTGACTGGGAATAAAGAGAGATCCTTGGCTCCCTACCTGTGTAGCAATCAACAGAGCCAACTGGCAATTTTGTTGTAAGATTCCACATTCAGCCCCACGCAGCCCCAGTTTGAAACCGGATACGGTCCCAGAACAATAAAAGGCATTTTAGCAACTCAGAGGCACCCTGACATTGCTCATGTGTATCTAAAATCAAAATCTGGTCTCAAGCCAAGTGCTTTATTATTATACAAGCTTAGTGCCTGGATTCATCCTTATTTTTATAAGTCCTGTTTTATTGGTAAGGGATCGAAAATTTTCCTGGCTGATTCTCATACCACTTGCTTTGCCCTTTTCTCTGTCAGTACCTCTCATGGACTGTACACACATGGGCCAGGAAGTAGGTCTGGACTTAGGGTTACCTTGCCAACAAGCGCCGACCGTAAGTTGCATGGCTATGTGAGATGGATGAATGGGCCAATCGTTGGTCACCAGGTACGGTTCATACGTTGCTCCATCCATGTATAAGGTAACCACAGGAAACTCCACATTGATGACATAGTAATGCCATTCTTTGTCACAAATCTAGTGGAAAGAAAGAGAAGCAACACTTAAAATTGAACATGCAGTGAAACATCAAACAGACTGTTATGCTAATTATGAAAGAGGGAGAAGAGACCTTTAGATCAACAATGTTTATTGCAAAGAACTCCATGAACATAATGGCTGATACGCACTGGGGTGATAGAAACTCAAATCACACGTGATGGGGCAAACCATGGAGTAGAGGAACGCCTGAGAAGCTAATTATCAGGCAAACATTTGGCTATCGGCAGATTGTCTCGGTCACATAATTGCCAGCCCTCCAGGCTGGCAAGTTCTTGGTGGACAGGTGGAGGTGTCTGCTTAAATTTGCTCTGTATCACATTTTTCTTAGCTTTTCAACAGAGGAAGAGTAAAATTAAAATTGTTTTTCTAAAAGCTCCGGGATGGATGGAGCTATAAAAAGAAAGATGCTAGATTGGAAGTAGAAATGAAGACGAAGGTAGAGAAGGGGCAAGAGGAAGGGAAAG